CCTGTCTTCGAGAGCGGCTAGCCAATCCTTGTTGCAGATATTTTTTTTTATTCAAGACTCACAGAGCCAGTTGTGTTTTATACTGCAACTATGCAGTATTTTAAAAACTAGAGTTAACTCGACAAAACCAATGTTCATCCCGAATTCAGTGACCCAAATATACCACAGAAACACTCTTATCTAATATACAAAAACAAGAATTGTTATTAGTTATCGTTGTTTAGAATACAAGTGTTTGTACTGTTTTTTTAAATACTGATACGTGGTAAATACTCAGAATTTTTGTTCTATATCAACGTCAAGAAATGGGATTTTGTTATTAACCATTCGTCTGTATGGAAATTTAAGTGTAGTTCTTTTTTCGAAAGTTGTTTTTAGATTATAATTTCGTTATAATGGGTTCCCCAAATTGATTCCATTAGTTTGAATGTACGTGTTTTCTATTATGATCTTAGAATTGAGCTTTCGTGATACATTCGAGGAATAGTTTCCAAAGAGTTGCTGGTCGAATCTTTGGTGGACATATGGACGGGTGTTTGTAGATGCAGTCATAAATTATATCGATCGTTTCATCAACTGGGACGTTGGTGAAGAGATTTTATATATCGAGCAATGCTAAGGTTTTATATGTTGGATTTTTGGCTTTTAAGATCGGTAGGAATTCGTTTGTGCACTCTACTAAATCATCACTCATCATTATACCTCTTAATTCCGCAACAGCACTTCTCCATTATGTCTTTTAAGGCGGAAACAACACATCTCCCACGGACTCGGTTCTGGGCGATCCTCTTCAGCTCGGCCCATGTCGTGCCGGCTGCCGTCCCGGGGGATATTCACGCGTCACACGCTTCACTTTGGAGGACACTTCGTCGGCGATGTCGTTGTTTGAAGATATCGTTGAAGTTTCTGTCACAAGCTAGTTTTTAAGCGAGTAGGTTGTTAGCCTACTGCACAGCCCCCAACCGGGAGGACCAGGGTGTGTGTTTTTCGTCTGGCTCCTACGCCACCGACCTGTTGAGCTTGGTTGGACATGCTAAGGGCCGAAACATCCATCTACATAGCTGTCAAAGCGACACACCATCGGGACGGCACTACTAATATACAAGCTTCACTTAAACATACAACCAACACTTAACAGCAATCCCACCCCTGAAAATGGCGAAAGAATGGCCGAAAGCTCTTGGGACAATATACACCCTAGACAATGTTGACACTCCTTTAACCCTACTAAACGAAAAAATGTAAGAATATTAGAAAAACTAATTAAAAAAAAAATCAAATGTTCTTTGTATGTCATATTCAAGGAAACATGTTTGAAATAAAAGATACTAACCAAATATACATTATATTATAAACTATAGTTTTAAGCTATGCTGTATTTATGGGGTAAAAATGAACATCTGGTTGGCAGCGTATGCAAATATAAGCAGTATGGACATAGAAATCAACAAAGAATAGTGACTGTCTGTTTCATGCTTGACCGAAATCATTAGGCTATGTGGGTTGGAAATTAATTAGCTCGTCTATTTCTATATTTATTCACTAGCCAGTAGAATAACACAATAAATGGAAAATAACTAATCTAGCTACCTACATTGCGTTCAAGCATGAAGCCGGCTGACGCAAATCTGTGTTGATCTCTGTCTCCACACTGCTCAGGCACATATGTGCGCGCATACACATACATACACGCACACACGTAAACAAAAACAGACATACGCGAACAAAATAGACGAACGATCTGTGCGTTGACATTGCAAATTGGAAAGAAGTTCGCTACACAATCTAACATTAAATAAAGGAACCAATTGCGTACGTATGTACGCAACGACACATGGATGCGCATATACGCCCAATCACACACTGTTCATATATGTTTATGTTTGCATGATCTCCAATGAGTGAGCGTGCGTGTATGTATGTAGGCGTACGTATGAGTGGCGTTCCGACGACAATTTTTCCTGCCACTACTTAAAACAACGATATACGCAACCATAAATTAATCCAAAATTTCAAAAATTAATCAGTTTGTCTGAGGATCGCATTGAGCGTGAAACCCATGGTCACAAATTCACATCAATCCAGCTATATATATATATATATATATATATATATATATATATATATATATATATATATAATATAGTAAAGGTAATAAATCTGTTGGTAGATAATCCATGGGATCCTAGTAATATAAAATATCAAAACTGATCAACAAAAAAGAGCTCAATGTATTTATTATTACAGAGAAAATAATTAGTACCTAAAAAATCCCAAATTACCTCATATGGGGAATAGACCTAATTCAACCGGCGAAAATTTCGTCAGACTTATTCAACCCCGTTATATAGACTGAGTTCGTACTGAGAAAAACTAATGAATTTATTCATTTCGATGTTTTAAAATATATATAAAATATATATATATTTATTATATTTATATATTTTATATATATATATATATATATATATATATATATATTATATATATATATATTAAATATATATATATATATATATATATATATATATATATATATATATATATATATATATATATATATATATATATATATATATATTAAATATATATATATATTAAATATATATATATATATAAATATATATATATAAATATATATATATATATATATATATTATATATATATATATATATATATATTTATGACACAGAGATAATGTTAAGATGTATTTATATCACTTGAATTCGAGATTAATGTTTGGCCTTTATACGTTTATTTGGGAATAGAAACAAAACGTTCGCCATTCCCAGCGCCTCCGACACAAACACGCTAAGGTCACATTTGACGCTTCCCTTTAGCAAAATTAAATGAAGTTTCTCTGAAGTTGAAAATTCCGGGACCAGCCTCGTCTGCATCAATTTTATTCTCTGTCTTGACGGATGACATTAACATGCCAGATTCTATCCCTGAAGACAGAAAAGATGCTAAATGTTATAGAATGGCAAACTGCTAACATCGTAGTCAGAACTTTTACAACCCGAACTGAGTTTGAACTCGTGGACGCGGAATCCACACAATGGATTTTCTAAATTTTAATATAGGAATAAAAACGCACGCAAACAGCTGTAGGAAGTAAATATACCTTCCTCTCCCAGAATCCTTTGCGTGCCATGATTTCAATAGAGAGAGAGAGAGAGAGAGAGAGAGAGAGAGAGAGAGAGAGGTAGGCCATCAAGTACAGATTATAAGCGCTTGGTTGACCTGTTGTCATAAGTTTTGTCTAATTTTATTTCCAACTCGCATTCGCCAAGAAACGCTGCCAAACTATGTACCTCCTGAAATAAAGCGTGTGTAAAGAAAGCTGTATAAAATTGTCTGTCTTTGATTCAGTCTGAGATACAGCGTTGGTGTTTCTACATACAGACCATTGGAATCCAGAGACAACAAGAGACACCACATAAATTATTTCCCTTTTAGATTGTTTACAATTTCTCCTGTTCTCCGCTTTTAAGGATACTTATTTTGCAGGGAACCACTATAAATGCTCTTATATTCCATAGATCATCATACCTTTTTTTTCAGGAACCACTGAAAAGGTATGTCAGATTCCAGGACTCTGACTTGAGAGCTCTTTTCAGATACTAGGGGTCCCTTACGAACACTTATCAAGAAGCAAACAAAATACAAAATACAAAAAAAAAAAAATAACACAACCGAAATACATTTATTATTAGCCACTAAATACACAGGAATATTTCAACATGCTGGAAAATCTTTTAAATAAGACGGTATGAAATGAAAGATATCTCAAACGAAATGCAATTCTTGATCGTGACGCATGAAGTCTTCGGGACCAAAGCTCATTTGCGTCAGTTTTATGTTCTGTCTTTGCATGCAGAAAGAACGAACTCTATTCCTGTCCTAATGAACTACAGATAGAAGAGACATTAAATTATTTTTATTTTTGAGTGTTTACGATTTAATCTTGATTTCAAAAGAGCTGATGTGCATATTTTAAATGCAATATCACTATAAATACATCGCCCCTTAGTATATCTCTATCTATAAAAGGCAGGATGAGTGTGTGTGTGTGTGTGTAACGGATGCACGGCCGCAATTTTTGACGGATTTGCACCAAAAATTACATGCATATGCTCCAAGTTAGCGGTAACGCCAAGACCGATTTTGCATTTCCCAACTCCCATCGATAGTGGAAATAATCAATTTTTTCTAGCTTCTACGGCACTTTTCATGTAGTTTGCGGCCATTTTCTACTGGCCAGAGTGAGAGCCTATAGCTGGCTGTCACGAATAGGCAGGAAGATTCTATTGGCCAGCGTGAGAGCCAACAGCTGACTGACACGAATGTTAATTAGCATGCTAGCATGCAAAAAAAAAAAAAATCGATAGCTGCATTCGTCACGAGTGGGAAAAATTTAAATCTGCATGGCACTTTACTTCAATTGGTTCATTCGCTTGCTTAAACTCAACGTTGATTCTGATTCCGCAGAACTGGGTTGGGCGTGAAAAAGTATTTGTTGTTAACATTCTTTTTTCATTCGGTTTTTCCAGCTACGAGTCTTTTTTTTTTAAAGCTGATCGTTTTGTGTTCATTCTGTTTAGTTCTTATTTCGTAACAGATTTATTGTTTAGTATAGAGCTTAGAAAAAATTCGCAGTGTGAGATAGGCAAGAAGTAAGGCATGTAGCAACATCAGCACGGCAAAGGGCACTACTTTAAAGGCAAGGAAGGGCGAAAATATTTTAAGTCAAGTGATAGCGATTGCTGTATGAGTCGTACGATTTTTGAATTAAGCACGGGCAACGCCGGGCCATGCTGCTAGTAAATAATAAATGCAATATCAATATCAATGCGTCGCCCCTTTAGTATATTTTGGTGTCAAAAGAAAATAAAACAACATCATGTTCAGTTAATTATTGTAAACATTTTTATTTCAGAACATTTATTATCACCCATTCAAAATCAGAACAGAAAAAAATGAGATTTAAAACGTTAATTTAGATACAGCCCTGGTAACCATAATAACCTGGATAACCGTGGTATCCATGAGCGCCATAATAAGCCGAGTGGTATCCGGGCCAGTTGTGTGCGTAGGGGTAAGGTGGGTGACCAGCACGGACGTGATGACCAGCAGCAGCAGAAAGGAGGTTAACGCCACAGGCACAGGTGACAGGAGAGTAGAGCGATCCAGGGGCACACAACATCTTCTTCTTCTTGCCGTGTTCAAAAACAAAGTAAGCACGGTGGTCGGATGGGTCTGGCAAGTTATGGCACATAGCTACAAAAGAGCGGGAAAAAAAACTATTAACTTGAAGCCGCATTTAGTCTGGGACGTGGATACTGTTGTTGGGCAGTCAGTGGGAATTAATAATCACTACAATAGTAATGTTCTATCAAATATTATAATACTTAATGTTTACTTATATTTTAATTATTTCTTATATTTGAGCAAGACAATAATTTCTGCATCATAGTTTACTTACGTCCAGTTGCAGCAACGGCAGCGGCAAGAGCTGGGTCAACCTCTTCTTTGGGTGCGGTGGGTACAGCGACGGCGGAGGAAGAAGCAGCAGCAGCGGCAGCGGCGGCGGCATCAGCAGAGGCGGCGGCACTAGCGGAGGCGGAAGCTTTGGCGGCAGCAACAGCATCAGCAGAGGCGGCGGCAGCAGCAGCAGCAGAGGCGGCGGCAGCAGCATCAGCAGAGGCGCCATCCTCATCAGAGGAGTCAGAAGAGTCAGACGAATCAGCGGAAGCAGCACCAGCAGCTCCACCGGCGGAAGCAGGTTTGGCTGAAAAATAATCAAAAGTTCATTTCATAGATAATTCCATTATTTTCTTTTAATGAATAAAGTGTAGCAAGTAAATTTGGCATTTTATGGGGTAGAGTGTAAGATGTGTCTTGAGTGATGATTGCGCCTTAAACTCACCCCTGATCACAAGTGGTGCTAGTACATACGATTTATCGCTAAAGATGCAGGAAAAATGATCGGTTCCCTGTACCGCTCCAGTAAGTACCTGACCCCTTGTGCTACCCTCTAGCTTTACAAGAGCCAGATCAGGCCTAAAATGAAGTACTGTTGTCATATTTGGGTGGGAGCTGCCCAGTCTTTACTTTCCATTCTTGATAGAGGCCAAAACTGTTTCAGAATCCTTGTAGCTGACAAATTATTTTAGAACCTCCAACCTCACTCTGGCAGGAACGATGTGGCGAGAATCTCGCTGATCTATCGTTACTTCATTAGAAAGTGCTTGGACGAACTGCATTCCTCCTTTCCGCCAATTCTAACCTCCTCGGCCATGACCTGCGATGCCACTTACATTGTAGCAAAGCACCCACATTTCCTTCGTATCGAGAAGTAAGTTCCTCTCGAACAGCTTCTTCCCTTGAACCACTGCTCTGTGGAATCGACTCCCTGATCACTACAATCTTGACCTCTTCAAGCCTAGGTTTAATCTATCCGCATTAACTGCCTCTTAATGTAGCACTCTACCTTGAGTGGCCCCGTGCCTTGTACAGGGTGAACTTCACTGTAGCAAAAAATGCTTCCGTGGCATGTGTCTCAAATAGTCTCTGACAACTATTTCCAACACCAAGCCGGAGAATGGGCGACGGTGTAAAAATGGGGCCTCATAACTACCTCCTTCGGGTAAATAGAGTTTGATAGCTCAGAAAAAAGGGAAGAAAATCCTGATTTTCAAACTCCGCTCTATTGCGGTCATATCAAAAACACAGAACAGGCTTTCGAAGTAAACCCAGAGAGAAAACCCGGAGTGGTACCCGAAGGCGATTGGCTGTCCACCCTGATAATCTTCAGGCAACTCTTGCAGTCAAATGTAATGCCCTGTATTCCTTTAGGTCTTGTCAGTACAGTCGAGAGTGGGGAGGGCATGTTATCTGAACAGAGCATGATTTCCATCTACCATCACTCAGGCGAGATAAACTGATGCCTACTACTAATATATCGTATACGGAATTGTAACAGACAATCATATCATTACTTATATGAAATTAAAATGTCGGATGTGAAATTATAACTTATCCCATATGAAATTATAATATTATAACATTCCAGACATGGAATTATAATATACAATTAATTCTAAGAAATTATGATAATATAACATGACTTATATGAAAATATAATAATATAAATTATAATATAACAAAATTTATACGTTTACCAACATGTTTCAAGCTATCGAACTTTTTTAATTACAATTAAACCTATCAAACAGTTTCAAATCCAGTTACAGCGGGAATTGGAACACGGTTCTCCGATTAACAATTTCGAGTCATTATCCATTATACCATCCGCACATTCAAGTTTACTGCACTTGGTATTACCAAGTGGTTACCCATCTAGGTACTGATCAGGCTCGACGTTACTTAACTTCGGCGATCGTACAGTAATTGTTGTTTCAACGTGATATAGCCATAAATCTATTTCTTTAAGGTAAGACATTATTCTCAAATAGTTTTCTCATGTTTTTTTTTCCTTGTAGTATTTGTTTCTTATGGAGGCTAAATGAATACATTCAGTTAAAATGAGTTTCACCGTGAGTAGAGTTTGTGGTGTTGTACATTTTGGTTGATCTTTATTCTTCAACAATTATGCATGGGTGAGGTATGTGTGACATGGGTAGTCGAGCTGGCGTCACATCAACTTTTCTTTTTTGTCTAGGATTAGTTTGACAGTGAAAAGTTTATTATTTTCGCTGTCGGTCCAGCGCTTCTTCCATTTCTGTTGAATGTAACTGTTTATCTTATTTTTCAAGTTCGTATAAGGGATCTTGAAATTATTATCAGGGAAAAGCCAATTGATGGAGCACTTTTAAAGGAGAAATTGTTTTATTTCAATGTGTATCTTGTTTCTCTGAATAAACATCATGACTTACCAAGAGTGATAGAGCAGGAACAATCGGCCTGGGAATAAGCGGTTCCTGGGGCACAGAACATCTTGGTTTCAACTCCATGGACATTTACGAAGAAGGTGCTGCCACCATTGACATTAGCATGGCTCAAACACTTGGCTATAATAATAATAATAATAATAATAATAAAGAAATACAAAAAAAAAATTGTACTCAAAAGTACAGCTCACAACTTGCAAAGGGCTTTATCTATGTAAAATATGTGATATTTTTTTTCATAACTGCTCAGTAAAAATGTCATGATGCCATTTTTGACCTTAAGTCTGAAATCGGGACCCGAAAAGAAATGAGTATACACCAGAAACCAAAAGAAATAAGACAACACTACTACCGCCACCAATAATAATAATAGTATCAGTAGTAGTAGCAGTAGTTAACAAGAAGAAAAATTGGAAAAGTGAGGAAGAACTAAAACCACCCAGATTCTGGGAGTACAAAAAATTAAGCTCTAAATTCTGACGAGAGTTCTAGAAAAGTGAAAAGACTATAATTCGTTCTCCTGTGACTGTCACCGGATAATATTGGTGAATACAAATATTTGAATTTATTTATATATACAAGATGCGACGGATAAATTGTCGTCTAAATTACTAAAAAATGAAAATAACACTGACATCTCATTTCAACTAATATATTTACTAAAATTACACAAAAATACCTTGAAATACAAAGAGAAATTTATTCAATAAAATCGTTATTGGCTTCAACAGCGGCTTCGGAAACTTCTGTAACTCTTCTGAATGGTCTCCGTGTTTGCTTTCAGATTATATTTGGATGTTACAAGGAGATTTTTTGGTCTGTCACTCAACTACGCCCCACACAATTAAAATACTGATTTTGGAAATTACTTCGTGTTGAAAAACTTTTTATGACGCCCTCGGACACACACACACACACACACACACACACACACACACACACACACACACACACACACACACACAGATAAACAGACAGATATATATATATATAATTATTTATTCGAAAATTATAACATAAATCTGTTATAAAATCACTACAAAAAATACCCATTTTGTTTCAACACATCTGGGTTCTTATCAAGTGATGGTGTTGAATGTAGAATAATATATATATATATATATATATATATATATATATATATATATATATGAATTCTTGAAAAGTATTTGAGTTGATAAAAATAATCACACTTACCAGGCTTGTCGGCCTTGGCAACAGGCTTAGGAGCTAAAATTAATAAATAAAATGTTACATTAAAAGTGAACTCATCTGAACGGAAATATCGCTGAATGTTTAGCGGAAATTACGCTGAAACAGATTAACACTTCTTTGAGGACAAGAGATAACTTACATCTTCGTGAAATTCATAGTTTAATTTAAAAATCCTATTTGACAATCATTATATTTAATTTGGAAATATGTGTGATTGATGCAATGAAATGGATGATTGAAAATTAATGCAATGAGAGTCAATGAAGTTGACAAAAGGAGATTTTTTTGCTCAAAATTGTGTTTTTCTTTTCGGAAACTTTCTTTGAATGTTCAATCGTCTTCCCGCATGGCTCTAAGTGACTCTACCTTCACCCTTGTGTGTCGGGCGTTTTTATAAATTCCTATCATCAGATTGTCTTGTGTGCGCATATCCTAAGATCCACTTTCGACTTTGTATTCATGTTAGCGCAACCATCGTCAAACCTCTTTGGTACCTAGTTTTCAGTGTTCTGTGAAACTGAGTACAAAGGTTAGGTTAGCATCTCTTACAGTAAACCAACTACATGCAGGGGTCACCATAGATCAACTCTTCTTAGATCAAAGATACCTGATTGATATTTTTTTTGATTTAGACGTCTGAGATATTATGGCTTGAATCGCATATAGACACCTATATTAACGACCAATAAGGATACACAGCATATAATATAGAGTATGTCTACTGTAGATAAAACTGTATTTTTTGACCTTGCAGATAATAATCTATTTATAACCGTAATCCAGTTATATTGCCTGAACGTTTAATCGTCAGTAAACTGATGTACTTGTTCAGGTTGTTGCAATTTGATTCATCGTCAGTGTTTATATCAGTGAGAATTATAGTATTAAAAATTGGCTCGAATTATGAAAGACGTTTTAAAAAAACATTGTTACCTTCGGGTTCTGGGGCCTTTGGTGGGTGAGTGCATCCGCAGATTCCGGCAGAGTAGATAGTTCCAGGGGCGCACCACATTCTTGTCGGGATTCCATTGTCCAGAAGAAGGTAAGCACGCTCATTTCGTTGGTCAGCACGGCTGAGACACAAACCTGGAAAAATAAATAACCGAATTTTAATACAAAAAAATAAAACTACTTGAAAACAAAATTAAATCTTGACAAATATTAGATATTAAATGGATTTTATGTTATCACATATTGAAAACAATCTATTGTAAAATAGGTTTTTTAATTGTAGGCACGTTTTGCAAAAAAAGGAAAAAAAAAGTCAATTAATTAGTGCTCAGTTGCAACGATTAACAAAATCCTGTGTATAATGATTACACATAGTAGTTAACTTGTCACGCAAATCACTGGCTTTTTAAATACGAATAGGCTATTTTGCCGACCCCGGTAAAATAGACATCACGATTATTTTACCAGTCCAGGTAAATTAGACACAAAGACTATTTTGCCGGTAAACATAAATAGTGTCTTAGAACTAAGAATATAGTTGCTGTGTAAGCTGTGTAAACAGGACTTGAACAACATAGATTTTGTCGTCTATAGCTGTCGTCTTCAGTAAGCGCTCCTTACAAGAGAACCATGACCAAATGCAAGTTTGGGATTTGCAGAGCTGTTATGCCTAAAAGGCTTAAAATATTCAGAAACTTCTATATTTATTTTAATAATTGATGATGGATAATTGATTTTAACTTGTGTTTTAACAATTGAAAGGGGAAAAGATTTTAAATTGTTTTTTCAATGGATAGCGAAAATAAATAAACCTTTGCGTGAAATCTGTGTGTTGCTATTCTAAACATTACCTGCATCATAATAATAAAAATATATATCGGCAAAATAGCCTGTAGGACTATTTTTCCTGGACCGGTAAAATAGCCTCTTCCTTAAATAAAATAATATAGCAAAAAGAAACGAATATTTGAATAACATATTCTTTTACCCGGTCTATATATGTGTACACACGCATGCATATATAGAGGATTACAAAGCAAAAGAGGCAGTACACTAAGCAAAGCGATAATGCCACTAAGACGCTAAGTGAAGGAGAAGGAAAAGATTTTAGAGGGAATCTGAAACGCAATCCTAAACAGGAAACAAGGGATAGACATCTACTCTTGTTCAAATGATCGGGGAGGCGTGTGAACCGGATGATAGGCAGATATATCTACCCTTAGAACAAGTCTGGTTTTATCAGACACGGGAAAGTATTAGAATCAATCATGTAAACACAAGGCAAACATATATTTAAAATGAACTTGTCAAAAGAGTTATCAATTTTAAAAAAAATCCTTCTTGATTTTAAGAGCCATAGCAAAGCTCATGAGTGAGCAGCAGCAGCAGCAACTGCAGCCGATTCTTCGTTATGCTGTAGGCATGGCTATTTTCGTAATCGTGTGGACAGCCGACACACACCCATATATATATATATATATATATATATATATATATATATATATATATATATATATATATTAGAAAATCAATGACAAACTTGAAACAACTGTTCTTGTGATGCGTTTCGTTCGTTAAGATTTCATTGGGCTAAAGTGACGTTTACGTTGATTTAAGATTTTCCTAACAATATTGTGGTACATAAAAATGTATATACCATTTTCCCGTATCGGGGGAAGAAATTAGGAAAATGGTATATAGATTTTCGTGGAACTCTCTTCCAGCTTTTTTAGTTCTCTGTCGACTACGATTTTCAAAAAACGAAATGCAACAGAAATCGTTATTATCAGAGTGTTACAAGATTATTTAATTCAGTATATATATATATATATATATATATATATATATATATATATATATATATATATATATATATATACGTAATAATCCGTAGGTATATAATCCAAGTGAATTCTAATAATATAAAATATTAAAACTGATCCACACAAAGAGCTCAATGTATTTATTATAACAGTGTATATAAATTATATAGATTGGAAATCCAAAATTACCTCATTCGAATAGCTATTTCGGCCAACACGACTTACTTTTGGCTTTGTCGACATAGAGGTGTCAAGTAATGAAATAGTTCCTATTTCATTACTTGACACCTCTATATATTCATGGTTGGCCGAAAATGATCAATGTCAGAGATAGAATCTATGTAAATATAAAAGGCCTGAAGATTGCTGTGAAGCATGGAACAGACATTCGACGCTTGACCTCAGAACCTATATATATATATATATATATATATATATATATATATATATATATATATAATAAAAATGTTCACTTATCTCTGCTTTCTTTTGTAAACAATTCCAGTTTGTGTGCGTGCGTATGTGTGTGCGTGTGTGTCTGTGAAAATACTATAGTAGTCTGACCTTTTCCGGAAACAACTTTAACATTAGAAACAACAGGCTTCTGGCATCCGCAGTAGTTGTAGTTGTAATAGCTTCCAGCAAGGCATTCCAGTCCCGGGTAGTAAAGATGGTTGCATCCGGCATCTGAAAATGATAAAAAATATAATGCAGGACTCATGAGGTCTTCGATGGGATCTGATTGTTTTGTGAAAGAAAAAGAAAGAAATAAGACAAGAAGGTGTGGATTGATTTCCAGTAAAAAATGGTATAAAGGAAGAAAGAAAAGAAGGAAGAGAAAAGACGAATAAGCGTTAAGGAAGAGATTGGAAAAGTGAAAAGAAAAGAAAGGAAGGAAGAAAGGAAGGAAGGAAAAAAGAAAGGAAGGAAAGAAGGAAGAAAGAATTAAAATGAAAGTATCCAGTAGAGAAAGTAAAGAAAGCGAATGCTAAATAAATGAACGGAGGATTTTTACTTTATCTGTTCTTTCTCTCATTTGTATATATATATATATATATATATATATATATATATATATATATATATATATATATCAGTCATCTTAATGTGTTCGTGCTAGATTTTATCTACGTTTATTAGACACACACACACACACATATATTGCATACATATTTATATATACCTAATATATATATGTCTCTTTATATGTATGTGTCCAATAATACTATATGTATTTATTCTTTCAAACGTTATTTTTGTGGATACCCGTATTTAATAGACGCCCCGTTTTTATTTTAAACAGTATCTTATTTTGTCTACGGGCCGGCACAAACGAGAATACTTATTAAAGAAATAGTGACCTCGAGTGTGACGATTACTCGCTCCACATCTGTGACCTTGTGTCAGACTAAGCTGAACCTAGTAAATACAGAGAACATATCGATTGTTACTGGGTGCGCCATACATAGCTTGTAACGGATTAAGATAAGCAATAATGCGTACATATGTATGTGTACATATGCCTGTATATGGGCACTTGGCCAAGTGGTTAGTGGTTCCTGACCATGAGACCCTCACCAAGGCTACTTCCTGATGTTATCATACTGGAAGGGTCAGCGTGGAAAATGTCTGAGTTGACCCAAGCCTTGTGAGTGAAATTGGGTAGAGGGAACCCTTGGATTGTCGATAACTGTCATCTTGGTCTAGGCCGAGAGCGCTGGCCTTGTTCAAATTGTTGATCACACTAGATAACATGCTCTTATAAACTGTAACTATAGTTATATAGTTACAGTATAAACCACAGTTGGGCTCTGTGGGTGTTGAATAAACACAAATGTGCCTGAGGGATTGGCTAGTCGAATAGCTGTCCACTCGAATACAACTGGACAGCTATACTTTTACATGTGTATATACAGAAATGCTTATACTTACAGTGTGGATGGAAACCTGAAAAGAGAAATCAAATGAATTTGAAAATGTGGGGAAATATAAAGGCAATAAAATAAAACAAAACTAGAAAAAAAAAATTAATTTAAAAAGAGTAAAATAATAGAGAATTCTAGATCGAGACTGATCAATAGCTAGATGGGTCACCGCTTATGAATAATGGGAGATAATGGCTCGGAATTGTTAATCAGAGAGCTGAGTTCCAATTCCAGTTGGGTTTGTTAAATTCACTTACGAGCAAATACCCTTGGGAAAGGTATGAATCTACTTCTTCTCCTCAAGATATGGGTTAATTAGTAAGACTTGTTTCACTAAAACATTATTATCTAAAAAATATTATCGTCTAAAAATATTTTTTGGCTTTAAATAACCTGCAAAAGGGTTGTAAAACCGTAAAAAAATGAATCAATCAATATATCTTTGTTATAAACATTTTTTCTAGCCTAAAGTGTTGCGATGAATAAGCAACAATAATAAGATGGCATCAAACTAGTATATACAGAAATGATAATAATAAAGAGTGTATTGACCTAAAGAGTTGAAATAAAAAAAAATTATAATAGATTAGTAGAACTAATTTCAACTCGGAACTAATTTAATCTCGGAACTAATTTCAACTCGATTTAAAATCAAAGTTCAATTTCCCTGCTTTCCTAAACAAAATCGAATGAATTAGTGTTAATTTTTTAATCTAGCGTTAAAAATCCTTAGTAGATAAGATAATTCAGAATTCATCTTTTCTGCAACTTTCATTCTTTTTTGTTGCAAATGAATAAAGTGGTACTATTTATTTACTTTTATTCATTTAAATCTGATAAAAAAAAATTCAATTGTCTTTGTAGCAAGAACAGTAGATTGCTTAGCTGTTATTTTTTTTGTAAAAAACTCTCGTTCAAAAGAAGCCGTTATTGATCAAAATTTAAGAAAATCATTAAATTAATTCTAAGTTCGTTTGAATAGTTCCGAGTTGAAATTAGTTCCGAGTTGAAATTAGTTCCGAATTGAAATTAGTTCTGAGTTGAAATTAATCCTGCACCCCTAATAATATGGAGTAAAACTAGTAAAAAATTAATAGTAATAATGAAGAGTGTATTGTGCCAGAGTATTGGGATAAAAACAACAATAATAAAATGGAATAAAACTAATAATAAAATAATGAGACAACTAGTTCGAAAAAATGTTGACTGAATTTAAGACAAGGTTCAAAATATCAGTAATAACGGTTGGAAATGAACAAGGAGAAGAATTTGTTTGAATACTTACCACGAGCTAACGGGATGCAACTGATTTCTGTTTAGATAAAAAGTAGAAAAAAAAAATTAGTAACTTCAATAA